AAGATACCGACAATCAACGCCGACGCTGCAGGTATCGAGCTGCCTCGGGTTGAGGAACGCGGACAGGAAGATGTTCAGATAAATTTGAGAAATGAAAAAGCACATCAGCAAAGCGGATCCCGCTGCGAGCATTTGGGAGTAGTTCTTGCAAGTGGTACCCTGGATTTCGATGGGTGTGATTAAACGAACCGCTATCTTTATAGCTGTGTCCGAATAGCTGAGCGCACCGAACCATGACACAAACCTCGCTAGAATCAAGATGGCCAGTAGGACAGAAATCCAGACCTCGGAAGTGAGCGGCTGAAGCAGCGCTGAGATATTGGTGTGCCGTACGCGAATGAACGAAAAGCACTGCTCTTCGCTTGATGCGGTCATCGAGTATCGGAGACGCACCCCGTCATCGAAACTATTGACCATTGAACAAGTCAGGAGGAACTTTATTTCGATTCCTGTCGAGTTGCACTGCATGGAGCCTAGGAGTTCCACCTTCACTCTCATCGCCGTGGGTATCCTCGAAAACACTAAGGTCTCCATAGAGCACTTCTCTCTCGTGTTGTCAACCAGACAGGTTTCCATCGAGGCGTCTATCCTTCGGAAGAGTAAATGATCGTAATTCGCGACGCAAACGAAACTCCGGCGTCCGTCTGGCAGCCAACGGAGTGTGCTCACGCTGACATGGGTGTCCCTGATGGGTCCGAATCCGAAAACTATGTGGAGAAGGAGATTATGACGGAATGCCTCGAAGGGTTTTGCGGCATAGCTTTCGAAGGGCGGAGAGATCACAATGGTTTTCATGTTGGCGGCGAACACTTCGAGGAACATCGGTGACCAAAACCAAAGCGAGTACGTTAATAAATCGTCTGGAGTGTCCAACACCATAACAGCCCCGCGTGGCTCTATTCTTTCGTAGATTCTGAAGTCAACCAGCAAGATGAGCAGCTTTTCGGGCGGAACGGAGCGCCCCATGGCGTAAGTTTCGGCTTCGGCCAGGACATGTTGCCAGGTTTGTTCTCTCGGAGTCTCAGGTCGAGCTGGAGTGAAACTTGTGCCCTCAGCGTTCAGAAGGTGCAATATCAGAATCTTCAATAGCATCGTTCGTTCTTATCGAAGGTGATATGACGCACAAAGACTACCACTGTGAGACGGGGCAGGGATCGAACCCACACCGCCTCCCGCGCGAAAGGCGTCGTTGCGACTAAGCACGTTCGCACGAGGAGTGTCAAACGCGCTGACCTCTCGACCAACCGCCGGTACATCACCGCACTCAGAGAGATGACTTGCGAGTACATATTCAAATGGGACGGTGCGAGAATTTTAATTCGGTGAATGTACATGCTGAAGCCCGGCGAAGAATCATGTCTCCGGGCAAATGCGCTCTCGAGGGAATGTACCGAGTGGGCCCACAACGCTCTTATTCATGTATTCGTCAGCAGCCTAATGTCCATGTAGGTGAGGGCTCCAGGAAATTGATTGGAAGTGTCCAGCGAGGGCAGAGTGGATTCGAGATGCAGATCATAGTCGACCTCCCTCGGAGCCTCTATATTGGTTTGCTGCGTGATCGTCACCCCTCGAGCGACACTAAACAGGGGAAATTCTGACGAACCCAATAGCGCCTACGTCAATGAGTTTATTTTCATCGGTACATATCTGCGGCACTCCGCCTGTTCGACATCAAGAGTCCGGCACCAGTAGCCGAGTTCGGAATCGAACTAGTCTGGCCATTCCTCACGACCAACGATATGACAGCTCTTGACAAAACGAACGCCTCAATCATCAAGCGAAGCCTCCGGCTTCACCACACGACGAGGGATCGCCTGGCCTACCTGTTGACGGGTGCATCGACCCTCACGGAGGACGTTAAGAAGCGACACAAGCATAGAAGAAACTGAAGCATACAAGACCCACCAACGCGCATGGGAAGAAAAATTCGATGAGGTTGATGAGAACTTCTTTTCAACGGAGGCAATGACAATGGACTCCTGGAAAAAACCGGGAAGGACAAACCGACACATTGTAATTAGATTCGCTGTACACGGCTTTCATCATTTACTCTGTAAAACTAAAGGATTCCACGAACCATCCGACAGTTGTATATGCAGAAGATGTTCCAAACTCTGTCCCAAATACCACGCTCGAGAATGCCCCAATGTGAAATCACTGAATGATCTCCAAACCGAGAGACCAAATGTACAGAGAAAATGAAATCACTTACTTAGACAGGTAGAAACTACTCAATACGAGTGAATAAAGACTTTGATTGATATCTGCAGCAGCCCAGATGCACGAAAAAGTTTGCTCTGATTCTCTCGTCATGGCAGGAAAAGCCTTTCATAGCCGTAGTCCGAGTTGTCAAGACTCCGGAGAGTTGAGAGCACGCGGTATGATTGGGGAAGAGGGGTAGCCCCGCAAAATAGGACGGTAGAATCTCGCATACATTCGGCAATGATAAGGGATGGACCGGTCTAGGTACCATTCTCAAAACTCCGTTGGGGAGCGTCGGAGTTCAGATTTCGGAGAGCGCTCGGAGCGCGGTCGTGAGCGGATCAGAATGAGGATTAGCGAGCCTCAGCAAAGAAGCCCGAGCCGAATCAAAGAAATCTCAGCCAGTCGGATCTGATGGCGGGCACGAAAGCTCTCCAGAAAACATCCGTTCACGCTTGAACGTTTTTCATTTCCCAGTAGTTCTAAAGGGCTTCGGCATCGGAGAGCAATCGGGAGAACTCACAAGGGATCGGCAGAGCCGCATGCTGAGCTGCAGGGGATTTTCAAGCTCGATCTCGAAACAAACAAATAGTGTGTCTCGCTCTATCGTTCCGGGAGGCTGCAGCCCGGTTGAGTGACGGGGTTGCACAGCAGTTTCAGACCGCTAAGATACTCGCGGTCACCTTCATCTTCTCGCTGCTGCACTCGTTCGAGTTCAAACTTGAGAGCCATTCTTGCTACGCTCAAGATCTGGCCCGAGAAAGCTCCCCATTGACCCGAGCGACCCTTCCAGGGGGGTGGGGCGATCCCCGCGTGGCTGGAGGAGATCTGTCGGGGCTATGCAGAAGTTGAACGCCGGATTTGATCACTTCGGGGCCCCCGCGGAATCCTGCGGAAACTATGGTTGAGTATTTATTTCCGAATCGGAGCCCAACGAGAAAGATTTTCTCCGAACTTATTGAAGCTCCGGCAGCAGGCGTGGAACCCACGCCACCGCTCCAAACGAGCGGCGTCGTTGCGGCACTTCGCGGAGCGCTCGTTTGCGCGAGAAGCGACGAACGCGGCGCGCGCCCTCGACCACCCGTCGGTCTCTTGACCCTGCCTGAGTGATTCGAACGCGTTTTCGCGGGCAATCCTGGAGGAATGCTTCCGGGAGAATTGAATGCAACGAGATCTCGGGGATTCCTCAAGGATCGAAATACAGCAACTTTCGTGAGCGGTCTCCAGGGTTGCGTCAGGACCCAACAGAAGACTCATTCCAGTCTTTTCCTCGACCCTCAACCTGTCCCACGAGTAGGCGTTGCAGGAAAACCGCTGATCTTCCCGAAAACCGCGTTCCTCGCTTGCGATTCCCCATGCGGTTGTTTGCAAAGCCTAACCCTGAATGAATACCTTGAGGAGTAGGCCACCGATTACTGTGGGATTCATGAGCGACCGTGTGCTTCGACTGAGGTTCAAACTCCCTGACCGAATCCGTGGCGTTGTTTCAATGTGGGTGTGGGCTTCGGAAGAAATGGCGGCATCGTTCACATCCTGTTTCAACATCATTTCGCTCGTGGTTCATAGAGTCGGCAGGATATTGGACACGTTCCATGACGAATGAAGGGAATACACATTCTCGAAGCACACATTGAGAACGAGCAGTAGAGCTCTGCGGCATTGGGTCGGGAGACGGCCCCTGAGATGGAAGAACAAGGTGCAGTTTGGTCTTGGGGATCGGCCCAGTGCCACGAGGAGATCAGGGTTCCCTAGGGTGCGGGATTGAGCATCGCGGAGCTTTGCCTCTGGCCTTCACTCATGACGAGCAGAACAGAGGGCGGCCGGAACCCCGCGGCGCCACATCGCGTGGCCAAAACGGCACGTGGACTGTTGGCTGTCGGGATCCGCCCAAATCTGGAGCGCACCAGCCGATTTTTGTCGACCCTAGGATGCTTATATGAACAAGAAACTTATTCAGACGCCTATGTATAAGAAACTTATATGCGGTGACACGAATGAAGATGGATGCGTTAAAATTAACCGACTTGAGAAGGGGTTGACGCGTTCTGAACTCTCCAATTACCGACCGAAGAATTTTCATGCTCGAGTCGCAAACGCGTTCCATGATTGAGAAGAGAAAGGTGACGACTTGCAATTCTATCCGTCGCATCTCCGAGCGCGACGCAAGCCCAAAATCTCGCACCGTTTTGGCTGCGCTGCGCCTGTCTGGTCGCGCCTTTTTGGCCGTAGCGTCTTGCAGAAGATCCGATCAAAGGGTATGCGCTCCTCACCAAATCATTGCGCCATGAATTCGCGGGCGGTCTTCAGACGAGACCCTAAACAGGTACGTTGCCCCTGCTTGTCTTTTTCGGTTTCATTTCTAGGAAATCATGAGCGATCGGGGTCTCCTCCGATTTCGAGCTCAATCTAATCGGCCCAGGATTTCATTGCCGTACGCAACTCTGGCTGCACCGGCCATTAAGATTGCTGTGATGATTCCGGTTACAGAGAGCATCCGAAAAAGGCCCACCCCGATTTCAGATAGAGGAACCAAAGCTTCGTAGAATCATGTCGGTGAATGCTCACTCGTGAGATTCCGAGAAAATTCTGTTGGCGATTTCTGCCGGAACTAAACGATTCTGTCTCTCGGCGGCCCTCTAAGCTTGAGGAGCCGAATTCGCGCCAAGCGTCCTCAATCTCTCCCCTCGATGCTCTCTCCAGTCGAAACAGTTAGGCCGAGGATTTTCACTCGAGATCGCTTCTTCGCTTTAGTTGACCCATCGCACTGTGTCTCGTCAGCACCAGAGCCCGCACCGACGATGCTGTACAACGCGGAACTCCCCTTCGAGGAGCTTCTTCTAACGGTCAGTCTGGTCGTTTCGGTTTTCGTCTCCGCAATCATGCAGGACAGGACAGCGCTGAGAGCCTGCATTGCATGCATCTACAAGTGGATGCGGCCGAGAGCTCTGCGCGAGCTCGAGCACCAGACCCGAAGGAAGGTCAGCTACAAGACTTTCCAGAAGTACCTCGAGACTGCGAATCCGGAGTTCGCAAACCGTGTTCTCAGAATGAAGGAGCTTCGACCGACTCGGGAGCGAGCTCTCGTCAAGATGCACGACCTCCTGTTCCGTGAGCCGGAAATATGCGACTCAACAGCGGCTTGGTCGGAGGTTCATGCTTCCATAAACCAGGCCTTCTCCGAATCGAACTCGCGAGGGAGCATAGAAAAGTGCGGAGAGATCGCTGATCGCCACGTACGATTGTGGCGGACGATAGAACAAGATCTGCAGAGCCCATACGATCTGTACCGCTCTCTGACAGGATTCTCCACGGACGCAATGATGTACGCGGTTCACGGAATGAATTTGCGTCTCGACGCAGATTTGAGGCGCCTCCCTCTGAAACACATCAACGATCTGAAGGAGGCTTACTGCTCATCGGTGGGCTACCCAACGCAACGCACGGGCCGGAACGTGGGGGTCGATGGAATATTTCGGGCCACGAAGTATTTCAACGAACTGGCCACTAAAGTCATGGATCGCTTCCGCGGCCAGAACAATGCAACGGAATCTGAGGGTAACGGGTGCCCCTTCCTGAAACACCTTTTGACATCCCAGGAGTCTGGGAGTGCCGTGGACCAGCTCGCTGGGCCCGTATCGTTGCTCCTGGTCCTGATCGGGGCAGAAGCAACAGCGTACACCCTGAACGTCTGCCTCTACTTCCTCGCGAAGACTCCAACTGTGCAGGATCGCATGCGGCGTGAAATTCTCAGCATCCTCGGCGACCGGACGAAGATCGAATTCGGAGACTTGGAGCGGATGAAATACGTCGAGAGCGTCATCCTCGAGACTCTCCGACTCGCTCCGCTCCACGCGAAAATCACACGATACGCGGATGCCGATGGCAAGGTGGGCGATATCTCTTTCAAGAAAGGGATGCCCATCGAAATCGATGTCACCGAAATGAGCAGGGATGCTAAAAACTTCCCGGAGCCTCTGCTCTTCCGACCAGAGCGATTCTGCGATCCCGATGTCAGAAGAAAACAGCGAATGGAGGCTTTCCTCGCTTTCGGATCCGGGACCGGATCCTGCCCGGCGAGGGAGTTCTCAATGTACTTGATGAAGAGCTTCCTCGCTCAATTCTGTTTGAAGCTCAGAGCGGTGAAGACTCCGAAGACCCCGGCTTGCGCTGGGCAGTCTGCACCCGAGCTGAGTCTGGCCTACTTCCTGTACGCAAAGAAGTTTGTCAGTCACCGCCTTCTGATCGGGATTCAGCCCGTCTACGATGATTTCGGCGATGATCATGATTGAGCTCCACCTTCGCGGATGAAGTGATTTTCGATGCTATTTAAAGTACCATGAATAAATATAATTTCAAATTTTCCAGTCTTCCCCAATGACTTTTCTTGCCGGGAGCCCGATCGATCGGAGCTTCGCGCGTCCCTATTCAGGCACGCCTAGACTTGTTTACAGGTTTGATCACTGAGGCTGTACGTTTTATGCACGAGAAAGAGCGAAATATGCAGTAATAAATGCATGAAAATTAAGGACTCATTCCATTGACGAGGCGCCATCCCATCCTATTCCATCAGGGCACGTGAGGGAGGCAAGATGCTCGAGAAAGCCCCGAGACATGTTCGAAATGCGGGACAAAGCGAAAGTCGCAACATAAATATGTAGTATACAAAGACAAAGATCCCGAGACCATTGAGATACGCATGTTAGCACGAAACTATGCATCGCATAGAGCGCACAGCCCCATTCATCACGATCGACATGGATTAAAACACCTGAAAGGAATTGTGGGACACGAGTCGGAGAGGGCTGCTGCACCGATCCTCGAGTCCTCATACATGTTCACGTCATATAGTCGGGAGATCTCCAGAATCGACTCCGAACTATCCGTCGGGAGATCTCAGCCGTACCGTCGCGCCCACCATGATTATGGATGCTGCATGATTGGAGCGCTTCCCAATGGGATATTCGCCATGCCCCAATACGACTTCATTGTCGTGTACCCAGAGTCCACCGATAGCCTAGATTTTTGGCCGATATATCATTAATGTGAAAATCTCGTTCCGTAAATCGTCCATTCAACGAGGACCTAGGCAGCCCCAAACGAGATGTTCATCTAATGGAAATCCAGATCACGATCAACGCGGGAGCCCCTCTCGATTCCCCGCATATTCTGGCTGATTCTGCCCCTGTCTCTTGCTTACTCGGAAATCTTTTTGAGAACGATCTCCACCGCTTCCCCAAGCTCACTGGATAAACTGGTAATCTATGGTCGCATTCATGAGACCCATCTTCCATGGAGTCAATCCCGGACTCAAGACTAATTCCGGAAAGAGTTCTCGATGTGCCTTTCCTGGACTCGCCCTGGCTTAGGACGTTCTTGCCGCGCAGGGGAGCCCGACGAGAGAAAATTCTTGCAGGCGAACATGAATACACATGACTAATTCTCCCATTGTACGGAATCTATGCCTGGTGTGATTCTATACGAGCCTTGTGATCAGCCATTTCTGTTTCCTTCCCTTTTACACGGGGAAAGCATCTGTCTGGAAAACCCTGGGGAGCTGCGATCGTTGTCGAACGATCGTAGCTTCGATTCATGTCTCTTCCTCCGGAGTTCAGGTGGTAATCGATCTCTATAAAACGCCATCTCATGAGGATTTACTAGATAGAATAGGATATTTATTATTAGGAGCCCGACGAGACTTCATGATCGCCTGACCGCTAGCTTCGAAATATTCGGAAGTTAGGAGGAAAAACCTCGCGACGCACTCTCTTCGAGGCTATTTTTCTTATCAGGAACGATCTAATTCGACAACCAGTGGCCTCGTCGTGAATCTGTTCGCTGTCCTGAACGAGGGGCTGCTCGGTCCCTGCCGTCGTCCCCGAGCGGGACGACGCATTGAGCGTCCGCAGAGCGGTTCGGAGGGACTGCGGTTCTTCGTGTAGTATCCGCAAGCTGTTTTCGACGGTTCCGTGGAGATACCGCGGGGATGCGGCTCGTGACTCGTGATAAAGAATTACGATGAGCGAGGGACGCACGACCACATGAATTGTGCGCACCATGAACTTGGACGATAGCAATCGATCAATTTCTCTTCATTCCGATCAGGACGCTTACAATGCTTGAGGGTCTCGGTGATCGTACATGGACGCAAGCGACTCAACTCAGGGGATCGGGAGCGCTCACGACTTCACATCGGCGGATAACCTGGGGAAATCAGGAGGAGGTTGACTCTCCTGACGATCGAAGTAGCTCATAATGTGTACGGCACATACCCCAGTGGCACCAAACGAAGAGCAACATTCGATATTCAGCGCAAAATGATTTTCTGAGCGGAGCAAATGAGCATAAATTGACGGAACGGCTCCTGAAGGAACCCTAACTTTGAAAGAGAAGGGCTGAGGCTGCTGAAGATCCCTGTGCGAATGAGACGGCATGTCGAGCATCGGAAAGATCCGGTCCTATGCAGAGCGGACTAGGCATCCAAATCATTCTCTCGCCGACACCTCTCCGAAGCAACGCTTGTCCTGACATGGAGCGCGTTTCCGGGCATTCACGCACATTTCTCAAGCCTATGTAGTCTCGACATTCATTTCTTTCCTCCTTTGAAAGTCTTCAATCAAGGTGTAGCCACTGGGATTGTTCGAGAGGAGTACCGATATTTCTCTCGCTAGCGATGATACCCAGTCGCGGAGTCGCCTTTATTAATCGTGTAGGACGGAAGAGCATTCCGAGGTCCTCGAGCTTAATGAAGCATCTGATGCAACTTGGCGGGAAATTCACCTTCGCAGGTCAGACGCTTCGCGCAGCCGAAATCCCGCGCCATTATGAGCCGCGTCGCGTCGTCGTGGCCGCCACGTTCAAGCCGCGGCGCCCCGCCGAAGTGCCGGACAAGTGATGTGCTTCTCCTCAAATCATTGCGCCATGAATGCGCAAGGCGTCTGCTGAGTGCACCAGAACTGGTACGTTCCCCGTTCTTCTAGTTGTCGGTCTTATCCCTGGAATCATGAGCAATCGAAGTCCATCGATTAGGAAAATAAATTGGAGCTTTCTTCGCTCCCGGGGATATCCTTCAGCGTCTTCCACGATGGAAACTGTCGGTGGACAAGCCTATGGAGAACCGATTGTTTTCACTTTTCTGATTATTTGAGAGATTTGAGTTCTAGGAGTTGGGGAAAATTCGTCTTGTCCTCGGTATTACGAGATTATTGAGCTCAGCCTAGGATTTCCCCCTTTTCATTGCCATATTGAGCTCTGTGTACGCGACCATGAGCATTGTTCCGATGCTTTCGGCTTCGAGGAGCATGACTTCATTCTGAAACTTGTTGAATATCGGCCAATCTCGATCTCGCATAGAGAACCCCATGCTTCGAGGGATCATGGTAGTGCATGTTTACCTGTGAGATTCTGAGATTATCCTGGTGGCGATCTCTGCCAGGAATAATCGATTCCGTCTCTCGGTGGCCCTCGAAGCTTGAAGAGCCGGATTCGCGCTAAATTTTCTCGGAGCCTCTGCAGGTAGCTTCCTAAACCTCTCTCCTCGATGCTCTCTTCAGTCGAACCAGTTAAAATAGACCGAGGATTCTCACTCGAGATCGCTTCTTTGCTTTAGTTGACCCATCGCACTGTGTCTCGTCAGCACCAGAGCCCGCACCTACGATGCAGTACAACGGAGAACTCCTCTTCGAGAAACTTTGTCTCTTGGTCTTTCTGGTCGTTTCGGTTTTCGTCTCCGCAATCATGCAGGACTGGACATGGCTGAGAGCATGCATCTACAAGTGGATGCGGCCGAGAGCTCTGCGCGAGCTCGAGCACCAGACCCGAAGGAAGGTCAGCTACAAGACTTCCCAGAAATACCTCGAGACTGCGAATCCGGAGTTCGCAAACCGTGTTCTCAGAATGAAGGAGCTTCGACCGACTCGGGAGCGAGCTCTCGTCAAGATGCACGACCTCCTGTTCCGTGAACCGGGAATATGCGACTCCACAGCGGCTTGGTCGGAGGTTCATGCTTCCATAAACCGGGCCTTCTCCGAATCGAACTCGCGAGGGAGCATAGAAAAGTGCGGAGAGATCGCTGATCGCCACGTACGATTGTGGCGGACGATAGAACAAGATCTGCAGAGCCCATACGATCTGTACCGCTCTCTGACAGGATTCTCCACGGACGCAATGATGTACGCGGTTCACGGAATGAATTTGCGTCTCGACGCAGATTTGAGGCGCCTCCCTCTGAAACACATCAACGATCTGAAGGAGGCTTACTGCTCATCGGTGGGCTACCCAAC